GAAGCTAAAGGTTGGAGTTAGGGCTCAAGACATGTCATCGGAACTGTAGAGGCTCAAAAGAAGCTATGTGTCAGTAACAGTTCAGCACAGTTGGGATTGTTGGTTGAATAACCCATAAACAGTATTTGCTTAATACAACTGAGCACACTAACTTAGTGAAGCTCGCTGTAAGTGAAAAGTTGGAGTTGTGCCTTTGAGTAAGTACTGGAGCCTGAGCATACACTGAAAAGAGGAGGGTTTCTGGCGAGAGCAAGAGAAGGCTCTGAGGCAGTCCCTGATGAAAAACTTGACCTACTCTTGGGAAATAAGGCAGGACAGGTGACTGAGGTGTCAGTGGGGGTGCCAATGACCATAATTCTGTTAGTTTTAAAATAATGATGGAAAAGGATAGGCTGGATCTACAAGTTAAAGTTCTAAATTGGAGGAAGGCCAATTTTGGTGGTATTAGGCAAAAACTTTCAAAAGTTGATGGACAGCGGATATTTGCAAGTAAATGGACAGCTGGAAGGCCAGAGACAGTATGTTCCTGTTAGGGTGAAGACCAAGGATGGTAGGTGTAGGGAATGCTGCATGACTAGAGAAATTGAGGTTTTGGTCAAGAATAAGAAGGAAGCGTATGTCAGGTATAGACAGCAGGGATCGAGTGAATCCCTCGAAGGGTATAAAGGCAGTAGAAGTATACTTGAGACGGAAATCAGGAGGGCCAAAAGAGGACACATGTTAGCTTTGGCAAGTAGGGTTAAGGAGAATCCAAAGGGATTCTACAAATACATTAAAGACAAAAGGGTAACTAGGGAGACAATAGGGCCCCTTAAAGATCAGCAAGGCCAATTATATGTGGAACTGCAGGAATAGGGAGATACTAAATGAGTATTTTGCATCGGTGTGTGCTGTGAAGAACAATATGGACGATATAGAATGTGGGGAAATAAATAGTGATATCTTAAAAAATGTCCATGATTACAGAGGAGGGGGTGCTGGATGCCTTAAAACCCATAAAGGTTGATAAATACCCAGGACCTAATCAGGTGTACCCTAAAACTCTGGGAAGCTAAGGAAGTGATTGCTGGGCCCCTTGCTAAGACATTTGTATCATCAATAGCCACAGGTGAGGTGCTGGAAGACTGGAGGTTGGCTAATGTGGTGCCACTATTTATGAAAGATGGTAAAGAAAAACCAGGGAACTATAGACCAGTGAGCCTGACATAGGTGGTCGACAAGTTGTTGGAGGGAATCATAGGTGACAGGATTTACATGTATTTGGAAAGGCAAGGACTGATTAGGGATAGTGCAACATGGCTTTGTGCGTGGGAAATCGTGCCTCACTCACTTGATTGAATTTTTTGAAGAAGTAATTAAGAGGGTTGATGAGGGCAGAGGAATGGATGTGATCTATATGGACTTCAGTAAGGCATTCAACAAGGTGCCTTGTTGACAAAATCCAAAGATATGCAGGTTAGGGTGGATTGGCCATGGTAAATTGCCCGTAGTGTCCAGCGATGTGTAAGTTAGGTGGATTAGCCATGGAAAATGCAGGGTTACAGGGAAAGGGTAGGGGATGGGTCTGGGTCTGGGTCGGATGCTCTTCAGAGGGTTCAGAGGGTCGTTGTGGACTTGTTGGGCCCAAATGGCCTGCTTCCACACTATACTGATTCTATGATTCCTCATGGTAAACTGATCGGCAAGGTTAGCCATTTGGATACGAAACTGGCTTGAAGGTAGAAAAGAGAGAGAGTGGTGGTGTAGGGTTGTTTTTCAGACTAGAGACCTGTGACCAGCAGTGTGCCACAAGGATCAGTGTTGGGTCCACTGCTTTTTGACATTTATATAAATGATTAGGACGTGAACACGGGAGGTATGGTTAGTAATTTTGCAGATGACACCAAAATTGGAGGTGAAGTGGACAGCGAGGAAGGTTATCTCGGAGTACAACGGGATCTTGATCAGATGGGCCAATGGGCTGAGTAGTAGCAGATGGAATTTAATTTAGATAAATGTGAGATGCTGTATTTTGGAAAGGCAAATCAGGGCAGGACTTATACACTTAATGGTAAGGTCCTGGGGAGTGTTGCTGAACAAAGAAACTTTGGAGTGCAAGTTCATAGTTCCTTGAATGTGGAGTCACAGGTCGACAGGATGGTGAAGAAGGCATTTAGTATGCTGGCCTTTATGGGTCAGTGCATTGAGTATAAGAGTTGGGAGGTCATGTTGTGGCTGTACAGACCATTGGTTAGACGGCTTCTGGTGTACTGCGTGCAGTTCTGGTCTCCCTGCTATAGGAAGGATGTTGTGAAATTTGAAAGGATTCAGTAAAGGTTTACAAGGAGATGTCCATTGTTGGAGAGTTGGCGCTATTGAGAGAGGCTGAATAGGCTGGGACGTTGGAAACTGAGGGGTGACCTTATAGAGGTTTATAAAATCATGAGGGGCATGGATAGGGTGAATAGCCAAGGTCTTTTCCCTGGGGTTGGGGAGTCCAAAACTAGAGGGCATAGGTTTTAGGTGAGTGGAGAAAGATTTAAAAAGGACTTAAGGGGCAACTTTTTCACGAAGAGAATGGTGCATATCTGGAACGAGCTGCCAGAGGAAGTGGTGGAGGTGGCGCAGTTATAACATTTAAAAGGTGTCTGGGCAGCAATGTGAACAGGAAGGGTTTAAAGGGATATGGGCCAAATGCTGGCAAATGGGACTAGATTAATTAAGGATATCTGGTCGGCATGGACGAGTTGGACCAAAGAGTCTGTTTCTGTGCTGTACAGCTCTGTGAAATGGTTCTCGTGAAGGAGTTTCAAAACCAGATCAGCAAAAGTGAAGAACTGTGAGATCCTTTAAAAAGTTTAAAGACATTTGATGACACACCATGTCATTAATGTCTAGGGAGAATGACTGAGAAATCTGTGACTCAGTCTTGATTGCATTTGCTATTTGATGTGTGGGGTATTCATGCACCATCAATTACCATATCTTAATTGTGGCTGTTAGAGTAAATGTTGCACATGTATTGTAGATTATATGACTGTTCTAATACTCTAGTAAAGTTTGTTTTTTCAAAACTGTGGAACCTTGTGGCTTTTTTCTCTTTTTAAATTCCCTCAATTACACACTTTGCTATTTTTCTTTGCTGATCCTGTGCCAGATTGCCAAATTTATGTTACAATCTGGTCCAGGTAAGTGGCAGCATCAATGGAGAGAGAAACCACTTAATGTTTCAATTCTGACAAAGAATCACTGACATGAAACATTAACTCTGTTTCTCTCTCCACTGATGCTGTCAAAACAATTGAGTGTTTCCAGCATTTCCTATATATCGTGAGCCTCCTTCCTCGGTTCCATTTTAATTTCTATATCAAGACAGAGAGCTCTGTACGTGGATGATTTTGCTGTCCACTTCATAGGAAAGTGTACAGTCTTTACATTATATTTCTCTTATTTGATAGCTTTTTATTGGTTATGTACTGTTTCACTTGCATTCGTTGATTTCACATCACCTGAGCCACATCCCTTTTCAACTCACTGAAGTTAACCTTAGTCTGGTTAAGTATTTTTGCATGTGACTATCCCTTGTCTTTTTCCATTTCCTTAACTAATCTAAACCAATAATGATATTCAAAACCTAATGACTTTTGACTTTGCTCACATCATTGCCTCAGGAACCTTGATCTTCTCACGTACTGACAGCAGTAATCCTGAAACAGTAGCATTTGCTTTCCGATGTGTGATTGACCTAAAATGACAAGCAAGGGAATTGACTTAAAAATTTATATTTTACAACGAAAATGCTGAGCAGTCTCCCTGCCACAGTTTATTTCAAATGCCTTAGCACCATGTAAACCCCTCAAGTTAGAGAGGGGTCTGTTTTGAAAAAAAAACTCACTAAAGATCAAGCTGTTAATTATAGTTAATAATATAATGTGATTAAAGCAGCAACTTTAACATCAATTTTGAGGTAATATTATTTCTGAATCTGGTGAAGGAATACTAAACAAGTAGAATAAAGAAGAGGCAGCACGAGAGTTAATGTTTCTCTTTGGAGTTAATGCTCTTACTGAATCATTATTGACTTTAACAAAGATGTACAAAACCAGATCCCACTTTTTTAAAAGGTAATTATTCTGCTGGTCATGCTTCAAATGTTTAAACACTATAAATTTCTCATGGCAGTAAGTGATGTTGAATTGTAAGCATAATGTTTTTATAAAAATGTACCTTGATTTAAGGAAGCTTAATTTTATGAAGTATAGTTGCTCCACCATCATACATTCTACACAGATGAAATGTGTTAGCATTCATCATGCTGAGTTGAAGCTTTTAACTACAGTAACTTTTCAAGATGGTATGGTTAAGATCCTTTCTTATCAACACCAAAGTAGAAAATCAACCTAGTCCAAATAACATAGACTGTCAGGGGAAGTCAGAGTGGGGATAACAGAAGTTCTGGCGACATTTTTCCAGTCCCCCTCAGTTATGAGTGGTGCAAGAGGACAGCAAATGTTATTCCCATGTTCAAAAAGAGGAGAAGGATAAACTGGGTATAGGCCAACTTGTAAATACTTTTACTTTCATTTCAAGACTAGTACACAAGAATCGTCCTGCTTCCAATCTCCATTTTATTGTTCTAGATTACACATGTAGTCGACTTGAGTATATATAGTATCTCTCTTCGGATATGTCTCCCTTATAGGCTGCTCACCATCAATGTAAGTGAAACAATGTCAACTTTGCAATTTGGAATAAAATTCACTTTGACAATTCAGTTGATAAACAAACCCAGTGTTTCTTGTACTAAAATGTAAACCCTGAAGAGCATTTCTGTTTGAGGAATAACTGCTTGAGCTGCTAAACCAGGTGTCTGAAATTTTCTAGTTTACCATTGAATAAATTAGTTAATTATTTTATGTAACCTAATGGCGGGATTATTTGCAAGTGCACTTGTTCAGTGTTTCACAACCCACAAATTTGTGCATGATAGCCAATAAAAAACCCTTTTCTTCATCTTTCAGTGGCTCCATGAACCAGTTCATAGCTGTATATAATGCAAGTGGGGATGTGATAAGCAATATTAAATACTATGATGGATTTATGGGGCAGAGGATTGGAGCCATTAGCTGCTTGGCTTTCCACCCGTATTGGGTAAGTAGTTTTCCAAAACTTTTTAATCTGTGTAGTTCCTGTGGCATTGATCTTTTAACTGTGTATTGTTTTGCAGTGTGAGCAGCATAACTTGGTACAGACACAAGTTGTTACCAGTGCCCACAGAGTTGAGTCTATTTTGTCTTAGTCTGGTAGATCAGTAGCAAAGGACCAGTCTATCTAACCAATTCTCATAGCTTTTGAGAAGTTTTTTGTTGCATTCTTAAAAACATTCAAATTTATTTACCATCTCTCCAGATGATGCTACAGATTTTAATAATTGAATAGTCCTCCTCTTGAGTGAAATATGCAGGATTTCCGACTCGCTCAATTCTATCTATTTAGACATCTCTCTTGCTGGAAGAGTCCTGGATAAAACTGCCCCATGGCTGAATATAACACAGCTTAATTCAATCTCAATATTAGTAGAATCAAACGAAACATTCTCTGAGACAGCGCTAAAGTTGATATGTTAGTGGTTTGAGTTTGGATTTAGTTGTGAGTAGATGTAACAAGTCAAGAGAAATTTATGATAACAAAGTGTAGAGCTGGATGAACACGGCAGGCCGAGCAGGAAAAGCAGGAAAGCTGACATTTCGGGCCTAGATTAAGACATGCCTTATTATCTGCACCTCCTTTTTAAAAAGATTTCCTACTAAATGGAAGGTAATAGTGCTTTATTACTGTCAGCCACTACTAAGATAAGTGTATTCCAGATAAACTCTGGATTATAAACAAGAGCAAATGTTAAGTCAAGTGGAGGAGGGCATGGCATGGCATTTGTTTCCAATGCAAATGTCTTGAGCTCCTCATACACGAGGAAGTCTCCCAAGGTACAGTGAAATATTAAAGCCTGCAAATCATGCCAATATTTTCCTTCCATTATTTTAATTATTTTGATCAACATCTATCAAAGTGGGAGGATAGAGGTGTAAAAGATTTTGAGATCTGGTCCATTTAATGTCTTTAGCATTTCAGCAGCATTCCCTCTAAGCTACATGATAATGCTGTCACTCTGAAGGTTTGCACATGAACCTTGGAGGTCAGTGCTGAAGAGAAAAAGAAGGAACATAACATTCTATATTCCTTTATTTTGTAAAAGTCAAACTTGAGAGGAATTTGTTCAGCAATGTTTTAAACACTTGCATGGTAATATTGTGACGTATCATTGGGTTATGACTTCCATATTTCATTTCTTCAATAAATGATCAAGGTAAAGTTTTAAAATTTTTTGAATATAAGTAGTCACTTGGTAATACAGGAAAAAAAAGAGACATGCTGTCTTAGCTTTTAGTGTTGCACTCATCAGGATGCAAAAATGCCAAATATCAAGAGAGGAACAAATTATACTGCATGAAAATTTTAAAAAAAGTTTGGAGAATATTTATTGACAATCCTAAGCGTGCTATCGCAGTTATACTAACAACTGATTTAAGATTATTTAAGGCACACAATGTGGTCTCATACACATTTCAAAAGCCACATGTATTCATACACATTACTTATACTTTGTAGGCGAACGAACTTGTTCAAATTTTTTTTGTAATTAAGCAAAAATGCAAGAGACACTAGTTTCCCGATGCATTCGCCATGGCAACTCTTTCTTTGCTAAATAAAGTGATTTTCTAATATTTGGAAAATCTTACTTTCTTTAGTTATTTTGATTCTTTTTATTTACATCTGCTTTGTCTGAACCTTCTGCACCATGGTGCACATTTCAAGCTACTCTATCCCTATGCCCAGTATATTTAATTCCCTTTCACAGTGAATTTGCTGTGTTTTAAGTTTGCAGCCACTCAAGGCAGTTGAAAAAAATTCAGTTTCAGGAGAAAGAGCCTCTAATAGCAAGTAAGAACATCAAAAGCCTTTGAACCCTTTCAGTTGTCTCAGAACGCACTGCTGGTTTGCAATGTCCTTTATGTAGTATAGTCACAGGTTACCTCTCCATCCCCAGCTATTAATAGCCATTGTGTATCAAAGCCATATCACATTGATGGAAGTAGTGATTGTTTTTCCCAAAAAGGAAAAGCAATAAATAAATTGTATTATTTTCCCCAAAGATACTGCAGTTATAAAAAGCAATGTTGCAGTAAAATCCTGGGAAGAAATTATCGCCATTCTTAAATGTTAGCATAATTGTTACCTAGGTTTAATTTTTGCTCTTCCATCTGTGTAATGGGCATAATAAATTGGGGTAGGGTCTTCAGCGTGTAATTATTTTCTGGTGCTGATAATTGCTTCACACTGCCTAACCTTTTCTCGTTTTCTAATTTAACAGGCCTTGATTATTTTCTGTTTCTTTTGACAGCCTCACTTAGCCGTTGGAAGCAACGACTACTACATGTCTATATATTCAGCAGAGAAACGAATTAGATAACAATGAATCACACAGCCTTGCTTGTCCACTTTACGGAACTTGTGATCGATGCAGATGCTGTATATTACTTCTAATGTACATATAAAATTATTTACTTGAACGTCTGGTGACAGCTGCTGCAAGACATGACTTGAACAACTTTCTCATTAAATATTTCAGCTACTGTAGGACAATTCACTGCAATGGTCACGGTATGTCTTGTTGTAAGAACATGGCTGCCAAGCTTTTTTTTCCAAGACTTGTCTAGACCTTAAATTTTGTTTATTTTTATTTTTGTTTCTTTTGTGAATTAGATTTTAGCATTCAAATTAATATAATTTACCCAGTCATGACTGCCCGAGGATGTTGTAACAACTGTGCATAAATTATAAATCCTATCAGCTCCCTTGGTAGGCAAGTCTTTTGAAAAAGACGAATAAAACCTTGGCTCACCAACCATATTAAAATGCTAGTACCTACTCTGGTAGACTATTAAAAAGCTCACATCTTTAATGTGTGGTGGTATCTTTGTGAGCATTATTTTATCCATAAATTGTAGCAGTTCCACACAAAAAAATCATGATATTCTGAAACATTGTACAGACTTCTCTATGATTTGTTTTACTTTTTCCCTTTTTTTGTGATTTAATTTTACAAAATAATTGCTAATTGTAATAGGAAACTCAAATCAAATCGCACAAATAACCAATGATGGAAAAGGAGACCTGAGCAGAACCTGAGTGATACTCTCTCATCTGTTGAATGTAAATAAAACCATTTAAAGGAAGTGGAAACTCGCCTGTGAATGTTACTCTAGCGATAATTCATGCACCCAGTCTTTGGACTGATAAGAAGACTGAACATTGAGACTAGTGTGATATTGTTGTTTGTTTGTCTTTATATTTTAATGTAAAGCTGATGCAGCGTGCATATTATGATCTGACATTTATAAAGCTATGTAGTGGAATATTGTTTTATTATGTGCATTATTGATTTGAAACAAATTCAGCATTGACTTTTTTAAAAACTAGGCAGTTGTAATATTAACACTAGATAAGCAGTTGATCACAATCAAACTCAGCTCATATTTAAGTAAAATATTAATTTTTATGCTTTTTACAATGCAGAAGAAATATTGGTTCTCAAGTTGCCCCCACAGTTTTATCTTGGTTTTTGCTGCGTAAGTTGAGAGCAATTTTGAGAAAAAAAATACATAGAATTCACTACTTCACATGTCCATTGAGTGAAAGTTAAGGAGAGTGAAGGATGCCTTTTTGATTGCAATCTGTTTGTATAGTTTCAGATACCTTTGCATGGAAATACGATTTAGAGTCTAAACCACGCCTTGTGTATTATAAGCTGGTGTTTCTCAGCTGAACTACTGAATTGAAATTGGTTTGACGTGGGGGTTTTTTCAACAGAAACCAAAGCTTTATTATAGTGGCATGCTTTCAAGTTACTCATATGAATCCAGAAACACATCTATATTATCATTTCAGAAATTAAAGACTCAATAGTTGGAAAAAGCTTTTTGTTTAAATCATATCTGGCTTCATTCTGATGCTGTTAAAATACATACCGAGTTTAATCCAGTAATTGTTTCCTGACATAAAAAGTCAGCACAGTTAAAATTTTTGGCATTGACAACTATCTGAAATAAGATAACTGTGTGTTGCAAAATATACTGGAATCCAAAACGCATTCATCAAATTTGATTCTTTGCTCTGAAACAATGTGGAAAATCTTTAGTTTCACTCAAATGTATTCTATCACCTTTTTACAGTGAAAGCACAAAATTATAAATGAAAATAAATTGGGTAGATGTAAAAGGAAAATAAGCCTGCATAGATTGAATATCCATATACGTGCTGTATCTATGCAAATGATTTGGAGTTGACTCAAGTATTTTTCTCCCTGGAATCTACTGACCTTTCATTCAAGCTAAAATGGAATGCCTCAGACTGAACGTTATTTAGCAACCAGAAACTACTCATTGAATAATTTAGCTATTTTATTTGTAGCAATCTTGTCCACAGCGTGTGCTACAAATTAGAGCACAGTGCTTAGGAGCATTCAAGGTTTCAGTCTTTGTGCATAGTGTAGAACCTTGGGGAGGACCTGATATTTAAAGGTATGTTCCCATTCACTTTTACATTGCTCAGTTTGCAACTAATTGATTTTGGATTATCAGTAAACAAGACAGCAACTACAAATCAGCATTTTCTAGCCTTTTGACCTGTGGGATTATAAGCAAGATAAATTAGCAAGGAAAAAAGATTATTGCAAATAGGAGCTCCTTTATCTTGACATTTGTAAGCTGGATTTCAAATCTTTAGCCCCACAGATCTTTCACAGGCCATAGTTTAAACATCCCTGGTTGGTGCCAAATGCATTTTGATTGCAGATTCTTTGGCATTTATTAGGTTTCTGCCTCTAAAGACCCTGTGTTGAGAAGTTGTTGAAGTAATTCTCTTTTAACTGAGGCAGTGACTTATGTTCAGGCTTTAGATGACAATTCATATGTTACCTACAGTCTGATATAACAAAATCCTAAGAAGAAAATAGGACAGGTTGTGACAAAAATTCAAAATGTATAAAACTTCTTATCCGTTTGGAACTCTTTTTTCAAATAGTTATCGTAATCTATCACAATTTAGTGAAGTGTACTGTGATTCCAGATGTATTTCAAAGCGTAATCTTCATGACAACTCACTCCACATAGTTGTGAAAAATAATTTTCCACATGTTCTCTTTTGCAATTTAGTTTCTTTAAAGAAAAACTCTGGAAATTACATTGTGTGGTTCCCATTGGGTTGAATTAATTTTTTCTTTTTAAATACCTGCCTGCTTTCTGAGAATGAATTGTTGTAACCCCAAATCTTCAATACTAGGATGTAGCTGCAAATAAATTTTTTATGTCACCTTCCTTTGGCTTCTTCAATATGCTGTTTTTATTTATGTAATTAAAATCGACTCAAATATTCCCAGTCAAGATTTACTCTGCATCTTCTACATTCAAAGGTATAGTTCCTTAAATAATGAATAATGTCTTTTATTTGGCAGTTGAAATCAAATAGGCAGCTTTCTAAGAAATAATTTTTGAACAAATTTTGTCAAGAACATTTGCATTTTTTCATATTTGTTTTTCAAAAATGCATATATACCCACTACTGATTTGCAATAGTTTAGCTTTGTCACTTTTGTGAGATTTAACATACAGTATCAGAGCTGCATGCTTTCTTGGCAACAGCTGAATGGTGAAATGTGGAATTAACAACCAAATGGGTTTGATGTGGGGCACAGAAATATATCAATCCTTTTACTTTCAAATAATTTGCTGAAACCAAGTTAACGTGAATGTGTCTATTTGAAATCCACTAACCTTGGTTTTGTGTAATCTATTCTGTTTCTGCTGGGGTGTTCCTTTCATCCATTTGTTGTCTATTTACTGCATATGGATTTCATATGCCGGGCATTAAATCATTGAGGGAGGATATATTGATGTGATACCTCATGAGCCACTGTTTTGTATGTCTGCTTTTTAGATGAAAGTGCACAATTAAAACTATATTGGTGAATAAATCAAGTCTATCCGAGTCTGCATCTTCTTTAACTTGGAAATGTTATTAGAGGTTTTCAAGACTAGTGAAAGGTAGTTTCTTTTTTTTCCTAAATACCTGTGTGAAGTTTGGGTGTTGCTGGCAAGGCCAGCATTTATTGTACATTCTCAGTTACTGTGGCAAAGATGGGGATGCCTCAAGTAGCCTGTCCAGTGAAGGTGCACTCAGTCTTTAGATAACAAGGTGTAGAGCTGGATGAACACAGCAGGCCAGGCAGCATCAGAGGAGCAGGAAAGCTGACATTTCGGGTCTGGGCCCTCCTTTAAAAAAAGAAAGAAGGGTCCAGACCGGAAACATCAGCTTTCTTGCTCCTCTGATGCTGCCTGGCCTGCTGTGTTTCTCCAGCTCCGCACCTTGTTATCTCAGACTCCAGCATCGGCAGTTCCGACGCACTCAATCCTGATATGTGTTCCAAGATTTCGACCCAGCAACAGTGCAGGAATATTACATTTCCAGTCAGGATGGTGCATGAATTGGAGGGGATAGTTTTTCAATGCACCTGCTGCCTTTATTCTTCTAGATGGTAGAGATTACAGGCCGAGGAAGTGCTGTCAAAGTCTTGGTGAGTTACTGCAGTCAGTGTGTGTAAGCAGTGAAGGTCTTGAATATATATCATTGATTAGTTGCAGTATTGACCAAGAGCCCAATAGCCTTTTTCAATGTTGTGTCTCTGCAATATCAGTTTAGCTAAACCTGAGGAGTTGAGGTAGTCATTCCCATCATTGTTGTCACGGACAAATAGGACTTCAAAAAATTTGAGAAGGTTTTTCCTACCTATTGATTCTATGATCACCAGCTGGGCACGGTGTGGTAGATGTATCCTTCGGGACTCTACCAGCTCAAGCCAATAGTTCTCATCAGCCACACTTATCGATGAACATTGAACTCCCCACCCGATTGCACTCTGTCACCTTGTCCCCCTCAGTGAGTATTTCCCAAGTGTTGGGAGCAAGGAAGCGCTGATTCATCAGTTGGTAACTTGTAATAAATAAAAGATTTTGTTGCCTATGATTCCATCAGATTTCATGGGGTCTAGGAGTTGTTGAGAAATCCTGGTGTTACTGCCTTCTGACTTTACCACTGTGCCACCAACCTGCTGGTGAACCTGTCATACCAGTGGGAGATATATGGAGTGGTGATGGTGGAGTCTGGGACATTAGCTGAAAGGTACATCAAAGTCAGGTTATTACTCATCTCGCCTATGGGACAGATCTCCCAATCTGGCACAAGTCCCCATATTTCAGTAAGGACTGCAAAGGGATGACTGGGCTAGATCTGTTTTTTTGACATGTGGTGCCTAGGTTGAAACTGGCGATCCGTCTGGCTTTGTTTTCACTGTTTTTAGCATTGGTTTGATTCAAGCAGAATAATTTACTAGGCCATCAGTAACATGGCTTTTTCTCGTATTGTAACCTGTGATGGATTTGCTCATTTCTCAATTCAGACACAAGCTTATTTACAGCCGGTAATGAATGACAGTGTACCTGGTTCCTACCCGATTATTTATCTGGGCCACATATTCCAGCCACCCTCTGATTCATCACCCAAATGGCCATGGATTTGAACAGCATCTTGTTCAACTGTGGAAAATGTTTCGGTGATCAACTATTTCCAGCAGAGGTTCCTAGACAGCACCCAAAAATGGAAACCTTTTCCTCCTCCAATATGTAGGAACTGTGATGGATTGTGTCTCTATGCCCACTGCCTCTGGAATCAACTGGCTTGGGAATAAACCTGAACCATTGGATTGATTTGGTCAAGGAAAGAAACTTTTGTGATGTTTGGGAACTCTGATTTCTGTTTGAAGCACTGATTTTTTTTTTCTCTCTCAATTATAACGTTGGATTAAATACGTTTTAAAGTAGCTTTTTATCCAGACACAAGTCACTAACTCCTTTAACATGCATCGTTAGGGCTCTTTGTAACTGTCCCATTTATCTCTATTACATGGAGGCCTTTCAGCAGGTGGAAGTTGGCAATTAGTACAAGAATTTTTATTCAAACAGTGTCCCATCAGCATGGTTAATACCCTCTTCCACCAGCTCCCTCTTCCTGCAATAACTTCCTTATTCCAATGTGATGCCAGATGATTTGTACCAATCGGCCTGCCACTGTTAGAGCCAGTGATTAGCAGTGCTCTTACACATGCTCTTCGGCAGGAATGGGAAAGGACATTGCATCCTTGAAGCGAAATACCAATCAAATGTGGGGCATAAATAAATTAATGTTCGATTTATGCATTTCTTGTTTGCTGTTTGTGATCTGACAGTTGCTGTTGGGAGTCATTCCAACCCCTGAAGCGGTATTCCTTACGTTGACAATAGTAAAATGACCAGAAACTAATAAGGAAAGCACTGCAATCCAAGGAGACATTATCCAGTAACTTAATTTAAATATGAGCTTTGACAGTATAATAATGAAGCTAAAACTGTCAGGTTTCAGTTTGAGAGGGTCCTTATTGCAGAGTACGGAGATGAGATTATGCTGTCCTGTTGGGTGCTGAAACCCAATCTTGTGTATCACGCTTATTGAACTTTTTGAGATGCAGAATTGATCATTTGAGTACTTTCACTGGTTTTCAATTTTAAGCTGAATTAAAATCATTCCATTCTCTTTGAGACTTTTTGGTTTGAAATTGAGAAACGTGTAGGTGAGCAGCCAGGGCCCATTGTTCAGGATGCTGCCAAGTTTGAAATGTGAATCAGGAAGCCGTTATTGGTGAACCAGGTTTGGGTTTTTTAAGTCTGTTAATGGTCCGTGTTCAACCTTTTCGTCTTTGTAACACGTTTTCTGTAGGAGCTAATCTACCTCTTTCCCACACCATCACCCAAAATAAGAAACAAAATACAATAGACATTTTAGAATTCAAGCTGAAGATACCTTTTGAACACCAAAAAATATGGTCACTGCAAAGTAAACGAGGGTACTGCAGGATGAGGACTCCAAGAATAATGATATGCTTTGTTAGTGCATAACTAGGGTTGTCAGGCTACATCTGGAATATTGACCAATGCCTGACTATCTTTGCTGTAACGAGGGTAAGACAGACAAGTCATTATATCAAATGTTCTACCATTTTAAAGTGATGGTCAACAATGAGTAGGAGATGAACAGGATGGGCCAAATGGCCATTTCTACAAAATTGCTTTAAAATTCCAGAATAATGAAGCTGCAGTCAAATGGAAAAAGGTAGATATCAGTGACCAATATGATCTTGAAACCTGTCCTGTAGAGTGGAAACAATGCTAAACAGACCTCCCTGGATACAGGAACACTGTTCAAGGCTTGGAAGGATAATCTTTATGGAGTATTTAAATTAGCCAATCAGGAATTATACTTGATTCACAAACTTGCGACTTTAACGGTAGAGGAGATGAAATTAGTAACAGGTTTGTGATCAGTCTAGTATTTAAGACCTACACCAAAAGAAAACAAACTGCGTAATTGGACTGGTTGAAGAAAAGTATAATTTTAACAGTCATCGGGGCGGGGGGAGAAAAAACCTGCTGGATGTTTAAATCAAATTGTCAGTCCAGTAGAGGCACTATTGTCACAATAACTTGTTGATTGGTCTCCTCTTTCAAATGGCGTGCTGTGGAGTGTATTGAGGAAGTTTTGTGATGTAGATGATAACTTTCCTGTCTCTGAGCCAGAGGTTCCAAGTTGGAATTCTACTCGAGGGTTTGGTGGACACAGATGCTCTTGTAACATAGGCAAACGGGTTGAGGATCAATTTGAAAACCTTTCCCATGCCGAACACCAGTGACGTGGTCCAGGTGAGATTCTTGATCAGAAAGGAAGTTGGAGCCTCTGCCATCAATAACCGTAGCTCCAGGCTACTACATGCATAGAAAAATTGCATGTTGCCATGGCAATTCAGACTTTCTGAGTGAAGAGTAACTGACCACCAGTGTGCAGTGAGATGTTATATGCACGCAGTAACGTCATCTCACAGCCTACAGAGGAAAGGAAGAGGCCTTCTGTCACCTTCAGTGAGCGAAAATGCAACTGGAGTTATTGCTGCAGCAAGAGGTCATAAATTCATAGCAATAGCTTCACATTGTGAATAATATCTAAAATAAGCAGATTCTTAAATTGAACTTCATACCTGTGCTTTACCTCTGTTTTGTCTCAAAAATTTCATGTGATTTTTGTCATTGCTTGAGCATGAAAATATCCAGTGATCTTAATTGGAACAATAATGAGAAGCTATAGAGATCTAAATGCCAGGATTGACCACCAATTTAACATGTCAAAATGCTCAGATGTAGAGAGTAGAGCAAATCAGATGCTGAAATGTATTGAAATAAATTATTGAATTCAAATAGCAAGGAACGCTTGTCATTTTATAAATCACTGGTCTGACTGCCGCTTGAATATTGTGTATAATTTTATAATTGCTTCACAAAAAGTGTGCTGTAATTACTGAAAGGATACAGAAGAGAGCAACTGGGATGGAAGGATTGGATTATGAGAAGCGATTAGAACTTGGCATATCCTCACTGAAATGGAGAAGCTTGCAGGCTGATGTGGCAGTTGATTGCAGAATTGCAAAATGGCCAGATAATCTCAGCCAAGATGCACCTTTTCACCTAAGCCAGAAGAGTGAAACCAGACGCTGCAGCTTGTGCTTGAAGTGGGGCACAGGATGCAAAGCTGACCTGTGGAAATATTTCACTGTGGAGACTCCATGGGAGGGTTATCCAGGAAATTACAGGAGATTGTAGTGATTCATTTGAATACAGTGCCAATTCCATTGATGTAACAATACTTTGGTATTTATATCGAATCCCAATGTCAGGAGGCAGTGGCACAGTATGGGTTAGTATTCGAGGGCCCCAGGCTAATGTTCTACGAATATGAATCAAATCCCACCAGGGCAGATGGTGAAACTCGAATTCAATGAAAATCTGGAATAAAACATTAGTGGCAGCACTGTCATTTGTTGTCATAACCCATCCGGTTT